AAAGAAAAAAGAAAACAAAGTCACGCATGTAACACAATGAAAACTTAAGTGCTCGACTGGATCGTGCTGTATTTTCACTTTAGTGGGACATTGAATAACACTACAATTGCTTTTTAATTTTTCTATCATCTCTGTGCTGCTATCTGCAGAGGGTCACGAAGATAGGACTCCCATAAGGAAGCTAAGCCATGTGAAAAACGTCACCTCAAGCGGAAATTGGATCAGTTTCTTGACCACATCGAGCCCAATGCACTATGTTGTTCGACAACGTCCACGCTCCTCTTTTCCTTAGTACATTCACCTTAGCTCATCAACTCACAGTAAGTGGTAAATTTTCGGTCGCTAGCAGTCCCTGATAGTAAACGTAACTTAATCATTGATTACGCGATGACTTACATTGCTCAATATACAATATATTATCGGTTTCCCTAACATTGCTATCGATCTGCTTACTGTTTAGACAGGCTGCAAATGAGTCGCTTCAGAACTACTTTTGTGGGCTTCTTCTCGGAAGTCTGAAAAGAAGTCAGGTGCTAAGGTTCATTATATTTTTATGCAAGCTTACTGCGATCAGCTTGAGCTCAGAAGAAGGAAAGCACCACAGAGAAGACTGAAATTTCCTTCGTGGAGTCGGTTGTGGTGTGATGGAGAGATACAGCGCCACGAACGTAGGGAAATCGCGAGAGAGGCGTCTGAAAGAGCGCAAACGCCACGTATGACACCACTGATGGAACGGCAGCGCCGGGAACGTACGAGGCAAGGCCTTAGCGGTCTCGCCGTGCACTTTGAGTCGGGATTGTCTTACAATCCAGTGCTTAGGGAGCCTCCAATTTCACTTAAGGAGGGTTGCCAACTAACTAGACCCATGGCTATAAATTGCTTTCTTGAAATGTTTGAGACAAAGGAAAAGATGCAAAGAAAGAAAAATGGCTGCAACGGATTTTTTCCTGTGGCCTTCTGAGATCGCAATTTTTCCTATGGCGTTCTGATCACTGTTGAATTGCGCAACAATTCCTATGGACGCTAAGTTGATTCGAAAACGAATCGTTATCATGACGGTGTCGCCAACTGAGACGGAAAAGGACTTGCAAAAGTTATCACGCGTACCACGCGGTAGGCTTCATTGAAAATGGACCCGTGGAACGTTCGGTCGCTCAGCTGAATTATTCACTAGTAAGGTGCCTCCGTGAAATGTGCGGTGTCTGACGTTCCATTGGTTCCCAGTCACTGCAGCCTACAGAGTGACGCTTGCGATAGCCTGTTTGGCTAACTGGTACTTATCACAATTTTGTCGACCATTTATATCACATCATTCATATTTTTTAAACAAGAGAAGTATATAGGTAACAGGTTTTTATTATGACGCTCTTTTAGAAGCAGAAAGTCGCGATGATCTTCTGTAGTTAATTCAAGTTCAGCGTTTCGTTGAATGTACCGTATTCTTGACGTAATTTCTCAGATAAGCGTATCAATATCAGTTCGGTTACATCATTTGCTATACATCCTGATAAAGGTTTCATTGGGGGTTCGCTTTGACTGAGCCGATTTTTCCGTCTTTCTCTCCTCGCGAACTCTCCCAGATCCTGCAGGAGCTCCAGTACCACCGGATAGACCAAGTCATCAAGCCGTTGCCTTACAGTGCTTTGAGGAGTCGGTTCCGAGAGATAATTGCTCAGTCGATTCGGGACGTTAAGGAGCAGCGGTTTGATTAGCGTTGATATGACTTCAAATGCTCCTTCCCTTGCATCTTTGGTTTCCCATTTCGGTTTGCTTGGAGTCTTTTCGACGACGGCCAGCTTACTTGGCTTCTCCAGTACCAAAGTAAAGCTCTTCAGCCACCGTCGAGTTTGTAAAGATTAAGATCAACTGAGTGGTTGTCAATAAAAACTGTCAGAATGGCCGTGGTGATCGCTGGTTCAGGAACTTCAGTCCTAAGTGCTTGATTTCGCCCATTCTCACTCGGCCGGTGCCATGAGTACAGCGGAACAGAGCCATGTGACCTTTATGACAGCTGCATCGGACTTTGTAACTGTGGTTGCAGTCGGCTTCACTCGCATCAAGCCGCACTGATCCACTCCATAACCGCGCTCCTTCGGCACTGTACTGAATTGATTTGGTTTAGCGACCTAATTGGTTTGCTGTCTGGTAGTATTGGGTTGGGCATGAAAAGTGCTCATTAGCTGAGCGTCTTTTCCGTCTGTACGTTTACCGTTTCTCAGAAATTTCAACAGTTTTCCAATTCAATGAACACTGTCTGTATTGTTATTGAATTAAGAGGAAATGACGTGGCAGCCACCGCACTTGATAGATGTTGTGTGGATAAAATACTCCGCCAGATATCAGCAAAGCGTGTTGGAAGCAGCTTATCCGCGCAACTTCTATCAAGTGCGGTGGCTGCCACGTCATTTCCGGTGACACGCCCAATCAGACTTCGAGATATCGACTGTACAATCTGTGTCCCCGTCCACCTACTTTACCACACGCTAGGACCAAATTTCGATTGTTACTGTAAAGGACGCAACGAGATTGGTGGTAACCACGTTGTGACGAGGGTGAAAATCGTGTCGAGGACGTGGTCGCAGAAGTACGACCCCCCCTGAAATCGAAATCCTGGCACGACCCCCTAAAACAGAGCAATTAATTCAATTAAAAAAAAAATTCCTGCAAAATAATGTTATGGACGCCTCATCTTGTCATCTATGCACTGTCTTTCATCGCTGCACACTTTTGTGTATTTACTGAAATATCGACTCGAGGAAAGAGGCATTAACTTTGTGTGACCTCAAAGGCAGGTTCGTTCAGAAATGCACAGAAATCCTGAAGGCACGGGGTTGCGATTCAATCTTGATTCCTGCTTGAGTATATCAAAACAGCCGAGTGTATCAAAGGCCGATTCAACGGCAGCTGCGGCGCGATTTGTCACTGGGTCAGATTTGCTGAAATCCCGAAAAAAAAACCGTCGAAATCTACACCCTCGATGAAAAGGTTCCATTCCTCCATTTCCCAACCTTTTGAACAGCACGCGGTAGGGTTAGATAGAGCTAGATTTGCTACTATCAGGCAGTATTGGAATTGCTATGAAAGCCTTCCATTCGAAGAGATAGTCTCTCAAAATCCGTCGAGGGAGCGTCGAGGATGCTGAAATTTTCATGCGAGTTTTTGCCACTTAAAAGGCAATATCTCTCTAATTTCGCAAGATCTTGAAAAAACGAAGACAGTTTTGGAAAGCGGAAGGTTTGCGCTTTCTAACAGTATGTTTAGCTTCCTTCTACATTTCTAGTTGAGGAGATATTTGCGTCGAGGATCTATCGAGGATGATTCTCGGCCGCTCAAAAAGCCGCTCCCTTCTTCACCATTGCAAGTGTAATTCGTTGGCAACGCTCGAAATGTGTCTAGAATACATTCTTTCAACATAAGCAATAAGAAAAGGGGCAATCGTCATCATCCGATTTTCGTCTGAGTATAGGCCATGCATCCGACCTCACTTCAGTT